TTAGGACTGGTTCTTGGATAACTTAGTAAAAATCCTGCTGATGTGTGTTCTGTTTTGGGTAAACTCCGTCATGTTTGCCTCCAAATTATTTCGTTTTTTAGAATTGTTCTGTTTCCAACTATGTATCGACTTTCTCTTTAACTTTTGGAAATTTGTTAGTTCTTTTCTTTTATTTCAAGGTTTTTCATTCGACTTCTCGAGAGATAATCATTTTGAGTATATTTTCTAACTCTCTTAGTATTCTTATTCAAATTATTAACTTTTTTTGAGTAGTTGTGTGGGTTTTCAATTTTTGGTAAAGTTATTTTGAAGAATATTCTTCAGTGTTTAGATGTCTCCCATCCTTAACCATGTCATGCTTTCAGTTCCTCCTAGATCTTTGCACTGACTAGCTAAAGAATCGATTCAGAGTATATCTTGAAATGGATCGTATAATTTTTGGAACCTTCTCTCAAAAATGTCTCTTAAGGAAGAATCAGACCCTAGATCTACCACTAACATTTTGTACAATTCACATTGTTTCCAGGTACTTGGGTCTGAAACTAATGAACAGGCGAATAACACACAGCAATTTCTCTCCCCGTGTAAAGCTCAAAAGAAGTGCACTGTGGAGATAAGTCCATTGAAATACGTTTCTCGTGACGCCGTGTTGTCCTTTCTTTCTGTTGCCTGGTCACCTCTGTTAAGTTTCTCATCCAAAACTTCTTCACATGGGAATCTGCGAAGATTCTCGCTTTTGGCAATTGGTTCAAAGTCTGGTGATGTTTCACTATGGAAAGTTTATTCACCAGAATGCTACAACATTGACCGTAGCAATGTATCTCCTGACGTGAAACATAGAGGGATGCTCCATGCTCATAGTTCGTGGGTTTCAACGTTGAGTTGGGGAATTGTTGGGTCTGATTTTTCAAATCCTCAAGTCCTGTTGGCTACTGGGAGCTCTGATGGTAGGTAAGTTGATTTTCTATTGCCATCAATCTTTATGCTACTAAGCCTTTGCTTGTAAAAACTTGATTGGTACAGTTGTAGTTGCAGTTGCCTACAATGAGCAACTGGAAACCATAGTTAGCTTGCCTTCGCTTTGAATTTTTCTGTTTATGTGTCTCAACCGAAACGCTTCTTTATAACATTTCATGTCCTTTTTAACTTATGTCAGTGTAAAGATCTGGACGAGCAACAACAATGACTTGCTTGAGTCTTCAGAAAATAAATGTTCGTTTTCTCTGTTGAAACAGGTATCTTCTTCCCTTTTTTTTTTGTTCTCACAGATGTGTATCGCCCTGGTTTTGATATGTGATGCTCAATCCACTGGGAGCACTTGTGTCTCTTCTGAGAGATTTTCCTATTGGTCAGCTTTTGCTATGTTTCAGTATATTTTGATTGGAAAACATTCTGGATGTTGATTGTGACTTGTCGGTATGGCCCTTTGTTTAGATCTCTTGTTTAGCTTTTTTTGGTCCCTTTTTGGATTTTTCATGTTTTGTAATTTCTTTAGATAAAATTGTATTCTAGTTGCCTCCTGTGCTTGTGCATACTTGAGCTTTTGGGCTTTTTTAGTTATCTTAAAGCCTTACGTTGTAGTTGTGTATATCCAAATGAGAGGCACTTTCATCAAGAGAAGAGAAGAACTAAAAAATTTTATGTTCCGAAATTCTTGGTCTGTCCTATACAGGTTCTATCCACCAATCCTGTCCCGATTTCAACCCTTTCGCTTGTTGTGTGCAACCATTCTGAAGCAATGCACTTGGCAATCGGCAAAGGCTCTGGTTCCTTCGAAGTATGGATTTGCGAAATATCTGCCTGCAAGTTCAAGAGAATCGGCTCTTGTGATGCTCATGACCAAGTTGTAAGCCACTTTCCTTTCCCAATAAAATTCGACCAAATATATAAAATATCTGTTTCATTTATCAATGCATATCAATGTTTACTAGATTACAGGTCTAGCTTGGGCATTTGATGGCCGCTGTTTGTACAGCTGCAGTCAGGTGTGCTCTGAAACTTCTCATGGTATTTCTTCTGGATTATAAACAAATTTGTATTTTCTTTTCACCCATGTTTCTTCAGAGCTGGAGCCTCTGTTCTAAGCAATAAACTACTATATATTCCGAGCTATAAGCCATATTTATATTTCTTATATTCATATTTCTTTGAGCTATAAGCAGCATTCATATTTCTTGTGCCTGTAATCTTTGTCCATATCTCTTCTAAGCTACAAAACAGCGTTTTAAGATATAAACCATGTTATCATATATCCTGTCATCTATAAACAATGTTAATGCATCTTCTGAGGTATAAAAGTAAGTTCTGGGTAACACGTTAGCTTGAACGAAAACCAAACTAGCTGAAAATAAGCCCATACAACATCCTGAATTTATGTCTGTTCATTCTTCCCGTTCTTGTTTTGTTTGTGGCGTGGTGATGCAATCGTTAGTTGATTGATTTTCGAGCTTTTACACGTTTCTTTTTGTCTGACTTTTCAAATATTCCAGGATAATTATGTCCGGAACTGGATTTTGCGTGGGAATACCATTTCTGAAGTACCGATGCCATCAAACAATCCTGGTCTGGTCAGCACAACTGAAGTATGCACGATGTTTCTACCTTTGCTCCCCTGTGTTTCTACCATCATCTATTCCGTCTTGACAAACAATGATACATTTTCTGCAGATTTCCGATGAATTTCTTTCGTGTCTTGGCATTGCATTGTCTCCTGGAAACCTTGCAGTTGCTTTGGTATGACATTCTTGACAACTGCATTCTTGTAAGAAATGATGCTTCTTGAAAATGTAAACTTAAATACTTCTCTTGAGCTTTTGCAGGTTCGAACCTTTAATATCGGTCTCTTGGATCAAATGTACCAAGCCAGGTTTGTTGTCAGCGATAAATCTGTCTTACTCGTGTTCGTCAGAGAAAGAACTAACCCGTTCTTGCTCGTCTTCAGGTCACAGAAGGCTGTGGTAGAATTTCTCTGGAATGGCGCCCAACTATCCGGTGAGTCTGAAGATTCATCAGGAGCAATGGCTGAAGCTCATGTCGATCTCAGCAAGAACGAATTGGCTTGCTGGGAATGCAATTTCCTCTGGTCCTTGAAGAAATTCGAAGATTCGAGTAAGGCACTGGTTACCTGGGACGTTATAGCCGCAATGCAGGCATTCAAACACTCAATGCCAGAGTTCATTGAATTGGTAGTGACCGAATGGCTCTCAGTGTCGTATTTGGGATATCAAACTGATATGTCCACAGGAGAACTCTTGCAGGAGATATCCAAACGCTTCTCTGCCGTCCCTTCCCGGCTCTTGCAGATTCTCAATGTAATTTCTCGACGGGTAATGTTGTCAGAGCTCAAGACAGAGGAAATCAACGGAAAAGTTCGGGAAAGGAGAACAGATGATGAGGAAGATATTGGTTTGTGGCTTGAACTTCTTGAGAAGAGTGAAAGAGAACTCCGGGAGAGATTGGTTGGCCTTAGCCTCTCGGCTTATCTGATGGCAGAATCTCGTCCAGCTTGTGATCCACATTCCATGAGACTTTGGCATGCCACTGGGTTAGCTCAGCTGCAACGATGGGTTGACATGAATCATGTCCATGTCCATGGTGAGCTGGAAACGCTTGCTGCCAAAGTTAAATCGCATCTAACGAGGTAACTGATGATCGTTTTGGTTCTTTCCCTTCAGCATATTCATTTGAGACCATTGAGAATGGTAGAAATCACCGTTCAATCATTCTATTCTTTGCATCTATGACTCATTCACTTGCACTTCCTTGCATTATCTATTTTTTCTTTCATCGACCACCAAAAACGTTTCAGAAGACTGTTCGGGCTCTCGGGTTCAGGGTTTTGCATTGCACATTTTCTGAAAGTTATCGTATTATCTGTTCTTTCATCATCCCAGATCAAGAAGCACAGAAACAGAAGCAGAGGAGAAATGTCCGTATTGTTTAGCAGCAGTGCATTTTCACTCGCCAGAAGAAGCCTTTTGCCAATCTAAACTCCAAAACAAGAACAAAAGCAGCAGCAGCAGCAAGAACAAGAGCAGAAACAAAGACAGAGAAGGAAATGAAGAGAAATCAGATCAAAGACACAAGCTAGAGAGGTGTTCTGTCTCAATGCAGGTATGCCAACCAACTCCCCAATGGTTCTGCAAATGCTGTCACAGATTTTCTTCCAAACTCGTTCCCGAAGCCCTATTTACATTGCCCTCTTTCCCAACCGATCATAAATCTCTTCGGGAATCTTCCTTGTTCGAAGTTTTGGCCAAACCAGTGTGCCCTTTCTGCGGAATCTTGATGCAGAGAAAGCAGCCCGAGTTTCTGCTCTCTGCTTCGCCTGTTTAAGCAAGTGTTTCACATACAAAGGTTTCATTTATTGTTGATCTTGTAACATACGCTCAAGAAGTAGTTTGTATTAGATTTATTTTATCCTGTTCTGTACATTTCTTTCATCTTCTCGTTGCTAAATTGTTACATCTTCAATGGGTTACTGAAACACGAGGCGTGTTTGCGCCTTGGGAACGCAAGAATCTCTTCCACCCATGTGCATCCAAAAATGCGTATTTATGCTTTTCGTTGTTGCCCCGAAATAAATAAATGCTTGTACAGATGGAAAAAAAAACGTGTCTGAAATGAGCAAAGATATTCTGGTTTTTGGTCGGAATAGATTCTAAAAAAATGGATATTTTTGAATTTTTTTGTTTTATTTTCTTCGAACGTAATTTTTAATATTTATTTTTAAATGTTTTCGTTCAGTGTAAAAAGAAAAAAATCGTATTCAATAGATTTTAAAAATTCAATTAGATTTAAATAATCACCCATGACATAAATTATCTAAACGAATCGTTTGCGCACATCGTTAAAGATTTCATTTAGTAACATACTCTGAAACAAATTGCAAGGGCTCGGTCCATGTTTTTTTTTGGGGGCTTGTGTTTCTCTCTTTGTTTATATATTTTCAGTTAGAAAAATGTTAAAATAATCAATGATGTATAAAAAAAACATTGTTAATTTCTTTTTCTTTTTTTTTAAATGTGAATATATTAATCAAAAGAAATGATCAGTTACAAATACATCACGGTTGCAAAACCGTATATCAAAATTGGAAACTTCTACAGTAGGGAGTGTACAAAAGAGCCAACAGAAGCTAAAGATGTCATGGTCGTCTTGTTAAATAGAATCAATCTTGCAAGAGCAGATTCTCTCCCGGTGACGAGTTTTTTTGTTTGGACAAAATAATATTTCGCACTTGTCGATCGAGTTTGTGCCTGAATAAATTAGAATCAGTTTGCAGGGAGTAGAAAATGCGATTATTCCTTTCCCGCTATATGAGGTAGATGAGCGTCTGCATTGTGATCTTAGCTAGGGTTCCTCGTTGTCTGCCCCAGCTTTATCCCGTTGCGTCAATCCATCCGTGAATTTGCATGTAGTGGAGGGTATGGCCTAAACCTGTCAGTATAGTGCTTCCATATCTCCGAACATTGTTAATTTCTTAGTTGACCTTATTAGAACAGAACCATCGTTCTTTTTTTTAAAAAAAAAAATTCTTGTGCCGTACGTATATCTGTAAAGAAAAAAGGTCTATTTAATCACTGCGCTTATTATCGTAAATCCAAAATTTTCGAAGGGCCAATCAAAATGCGATACGACGTTGACTTTTTACATCATATGGTCACAACGAAAAAAACGTGCTCTTAAAATCCACACGTATCTGCATTTGCCTAAATGTATGGATATGTTGTATACACACACCTCACCTACATTCGCAAAGAATCCAAAAAATTATTTGACTCAATATAATATATTTTATATTCAACTATAAAAAGTACGGTAATTTTAGAAATTTTACACAAACGGAAAGTTAAAAAACTAAAGCATGAGTATTAAATAATTAAATCAATTATTTTTATAAGTTTATTACCATCAAAATTATATATGTATAGATTTAGAGGACGTAACTCGTATTCTTTCAATATAGATCTCTCTTCATCTGCATGTCATATATTTTTAGTTTTAAACCGAACAAATGTTAAAATGTTTTTGCATAGACATTTCTTTGTTTGTTCATCTATCTCATTCCCATTTAGCGTACATATTCTATACTGAATATTCATGATAAATTCATGTAAAATACGAATTGTTTTCACTATATATGTGTTTATATAGATAGTAAATTGTTATCATATAACATTCAATATGAATATAACATTCATGTAAAATGCCCAATAGGTGATGGTCCAATTAATGATTGAGAGATGACAAAATAATTTTCAAAATCTTTGGTTCGATTTCATTGATGAAAAGTGATGTAATTTTTGGATCAAAATGGTCTATATATAAAGTGTGGTCCCGGACATAGGATGAATGTAGTCGGGTCAAAGACCCGGAGAACCATCCTGCTTATAAAAAAAACATTCATGTAAAATAGATTATTTGTCTCAAAATTTAAATAATATAATTGAATATAACTGAAGATAGAATATCTAAAATTTTTTATGCGGTTAAATTCAGATTTTCACACTATATAAGGATTTAAAAATTTGATCTTTTATCCGTAAATCTAGAATTTTGGCCTATACTTAGAATCTATAAGAGATTTAAGATAATTTTACAATATTTTAATAAATATTAGAGCTATTTTTATAATTTTTAGAATTACAAAAATTCATTTTAGGTTTTTTAAAATTAAAGATAAATTTATAGTTTTTTAAAAAGTTTTAAAAAATATATATCTTTTATTATTATCATTGATTGGACATTTAACCGTAAAAATTTAAAAATCCAAATTCAAATTTAGTTAGTGAAATACCTGAATTCAAATCCTAACTGCTTGTAATACAAAAAATAGGAGAAATTGTCCATCTCTGGTTACAGCTCCGATTGAATCTTTTAATATAATTTAAATATTTTAACCATTTTCTTTCTTTCCGTTTAGTTTCTCTTTAATTGTAAACTCGAACAAATGTAATTCGTAAAACAAGGTCCGATCATTTTTCTCATCTCTCGTGTATTTTTGCACCGACAACTCCGACGGCGCAGACCTCCTCTTTGTGACACGTGGACATCTCATCGCGCGAGTGTACATATTTCTCTTGCTCGCGCGTGAGATACGATCGTAACCAAGCAGATTTACGATACACTTCCCGAGGCGAGGATGGCTAAATTTCAGAGGTCACCAAGGATATCTTTATACGTGTCGTTCATCTATTAGTTTCAGTATTTGGCCGTACGTTTGGTCGCCAGCGGGCTAGCGCCCGCTACTGAAGAATCTAGAGTTATTTGGTACGGTTCTTTGAAATCAAATCATCGTGGTGAATAAAAAAAATTGATATAGTTTTCGAAACGAATCGTACAAAATTTTGAACGATAATATTTAGAAATCAAAATTTAAAAAAATAAAAAATCAATTTTTTTAAGGAAATATAATTTGTTCTTAATAAAAAGGTAAAATCGAATATGATATAATAATCAATTAATATATATTTTTTATACAACAAAAAATTAAACAGAATAATTTATATACCGAATACAGAAACGTCCACTCCTAGTTATTTTTATCTATTATTAAAAATCTTAATGTTAATCTTCATTATTTAAGTTGATTAATAAAAGTCTATATAAATTATATATATATATATTTCTACTAAAATTAAAATAATAACTTTATATTATCATATTATTATGTCAACGATAATAAATTTTTCTCTATCTAATGTGCGTTTATAAAATTTACAATAAATTCTTATAAATTTATTAGATTCTAATTAAATTGGAATTATTACATTAAATTATTATACCAAATTATAATTAATTTATTTGATATTTATTGTTTCAACAATCTATATATATATATATATATATATATATATTGTTATGAATTTTCTAAATGGAAAAGTAATAAACATTTACATCACAAAATAACATGAAATAGTTTTCATTTATAGTTCTATTTTGATTCTATTACAGAAATTTTTAGTTGAATTAAAAAAATTTAAAGTTAAACTTTGCAATTCAAAATATGAGATAATAAATTAAAAAAATAAATTAATGTGTACCAATTTATATATATATATATATACTTATTTGTATACCCTCTGTAATTGATATATATATAAATTTTTTTATAATCGGATGTTATGAATCGAAGTCCAAACTAATTTTGGAATCGAAAGTAAGTTATATGATTGAAATTACGTTCTTCTCTCTAATTTGATACTCGGATTTACGATGAAACAGTTTTGTATTCATATTTTACGGGTTTATATATAAGATTATTTGTATACCCTTTGTAATTGCCTAATTTCATATAATATGGAAAGCTCATAGATATTTTCTTTCTTAGCTTGACTCTTAATTTTAAGGATCCGAAATTGACACACTTTCCAAAGGCCAAGATTCTCCTTTATTGTCATTTGTCTATTTATATTAGAAAATACTAAATTGTTTGTTTAATGTGGATTGGATTTGATTGACAATGTGATTTTTATTTAAAAAAGTTGTTTTAAAAAAATTATTTTTTATTGTTAATATTATATTGTTTATAAATTTTGTTAATTTTATATTCTAAAAAACTATATCTAATTTGAAACTACATATTCAATTTTGATTATATTCAATTTTTATAGCTATGATAAATAACTAGTCGTATTCGTAGAATCTCTTGATATGATTTTGTGATATATTTTATGTAAATATATACACTAAACTTTTTACACGAAACTATAATTTATCGTGGATTGCCGAATGTGACTTTGAATACAATACAACATAAATTGTATACGGAATACTAATTAATTAATTAATTAAGAAAATATTGTATACATTAATACATACGCCCGTGTATATATACTTGGAAGGGTGAACTTAGTCTTGAGTGGGGCCTTTGCCCCCGATAAATTTCTATAAAAATATATAATATTGTCCAAGAATTATGGCTATTGTTTTGTAAAATAAACTGTTCTTGATAAATATTTATAAGTTTCCCCGTGCTTTCATTCCAAAATATTTTAAGAGTGAATTTGTATTTTTAAAATTAATTTTTTATCATATATTTTATTTAGTTATCTAACAAAAATAAAAACATATAGACTTTTCTAGTTTTCTGTTCTCTTTTCCAACCATATTTTGGCCGCTCTAGAAATATTCTTACACCGCCATATATATATTTTCTTGAAAAATTTAACTCTTTTTATTATTAAATATTATAATATAATCATTAGAACTATAAGTCTATAACCATGTTATGTAAATATTAAACATAATAATCATTTTCAAATATCTTACAATAATGAATTTTATATATGACGTGACTATAGATTAATTTAAAATACAGAAAAACGTATATCATGTTATTATATTTTTAATACTATATAAATGAACGTTTATTTATAGAATATAATTTATTTATAATAAATTTTTTAATGATTACCTGTTATAAAATACTATTTTTTGTATGGGTATATGTATATATATATACACTATAGTGGAATAAAATAAATTATAACATTTTAAATTTTTTTCACATGATCACTATATACTCTAGTAGCTAGAATATACCATTTTTTAATTTTTTTAATTTATAAATAATTTTTTTTTATCATTTTATATAAAATTATGTTTGGCTATATTTACTTGTTCTTATTTATATACCCGAGTCCTTGTGTTCCTTGTGTTCTGATCATCTCCTCAAAATTTGTACTTTTTCTTCTATTCTAAAATTTCCCTTCAAAATCAGTAATTCTATTTCGGTTGTTCTTCTACTGATTGTGATCTTTGAGGTGCGTTTCTCCATCAATGGAATTCCATTGACCGAGACAACAAAGGTTTGTGCTCTTTTTCTGGGATTTTGGGGGTTTTCCCTCAATTTGTTTTCTTCGTTTTTTACTCAGTCTGATCATGTTGATGTAGAAATTGGCGAGCTCTTGGGTTGTTTCTGAACTTTTCTTTCTTGTCCGGAGATTCATCTTCTGGTCCGATCATGGCTGTTGCTGAGGATGCTGGTGTTAAAGTGGATTCTTCTGGCCAGAATTTGGAGAACAACACTGTCTCATCAGTGGACGCGAAGCCGCCATGTCCTGATTCTCAGAACCCTAAATCTGATTCCTCTGTTGAGACGCCGAATCCAACCAAGGAATCAATTCCAGATAACGATGATCAGGAAGTCTACATCAATGGCACTCACCAGATTGGTCAGACGCCAACTGGGTTTAAGGAGAATGGGTTTGGATCGAAACCCAAAAACGGTGCGAGGGAAGACGGTGAAGAGAATCTAAAGAGTGAGATAGGAAATTTGGATGAGGCGTTATCTAAGTTGAACCCTATGGCCGAAGAATTTGTCCCTCCTTCATTGGCTCGTGGCCAATCTGGGGTATTGGGCAATGGATTAGGGTTTACTAACAATTTTGCAGGAGAAGCTAATTCTGCTGATGGAAACGGCCATCTTGCTGGAAGGGTATTATATCATCCTTTTCCTCCTAACGTTTTCTCTGAATCATGATCTCTGTGTTCTGCTGTTCAGGTTCGCTCCGTCATGTCTCCTGAGTTGTTTGCTTGATCAGCGTTCAAAAAGCTTATTGGTTTTTGTGATGTATGTGCTAATTTATTGATTGTTAGTTAGGTTTTCGTTTTTCTCATTTGCTGTTTGGTTTTTGTGAAAACTGTCTTCATGAGGTTCGAGATATATGTGTGAATTCTGGCTCAGGATACTATTACACCCTCCTTATTTGATGATAAAATGATGCAGGGAAAACCGCTGATTGAAAAGTATTGAACAGATGACTTTAAAGTTTTGAGCTTTACATGTATTTTATTAAGTTCCTTGAGCCGTTTGCTTGACCAGATACGGAAAAGCTTATCAGTTTCTTGTGTTGTATGCCAAAGTTTCTTATTTTCCTTGGCCTCTTTCTTTTGATCCTGTGCTTTTCTGTTTGCTGTTTGATACGGTTTATATATACAAGTTTTGACTATCTTACATATCAGTTACATTTCAAGAGAACAGTTAGGCTAAAGGACTAATCCAGTTCGAGTCGTCACCTAGTGGGGTGCTGGGGAAGGGAATATACTAAATTTTCTTCTGTATATGCATATTTCGGGTTTTAGGATTTTGACTAGAAGGATCCTTCTCCTAAATGTTTTTTTGGAATTATGATCTTCTTGTTCTATATATTTTCCGTGAGATCGATAACAACGTGGCACACTTATCACAAGGTTGTGAGCTTTGCATGTATTCTGTTATGTTTTGTGAGTTGTTGGCTCGATGGTTTGTTGAAAAGCTTATCTTGTCTATGAAAGTTTCTCTATCCTCTTAATTTTCTTCTTGTATTTCTCGTGTGGTTCTATCATATGCTTTTGGTGTTGGGAAAATTATATGTGCAGATGAGTTTTGTTCATACTATACTACATCTATTCAATAAAATTTCTAGCTTTTTAGAAAATTATTTAGTGTGATTTGTGAACTTCCCTTTTCCATACACGAGGTTTAGGGTTCTGATGGATTCAACGGGCAGATAATGACCCAAAAATTGGAGCTTTGCATGAATTACGCCACTTTGCTCTGTGTATTAGGATAGTAATATGGATCAACGATTAGTTTGTGATTGGTTCTTGTATCTCTGCAGATGGTTTTCCATGTATAATTCCTTTTCACCTCACTTTTGTTTGCCCTTACAGAGAAGGAACTATGGCCAGGGTAAGCGTAGAATGAACAAAAGGACAAGCTTGGCTCAGAGGGAAGAGATAATTAGGAGAACTGTATATGTATCCGACATCGATCAACAGGTAAAAGAAAAAAAAGAAAACTTCCTGCCTAAGAGGAGTGTTTTCTCATATGGAAACCATCATAAACAAAATCCTTTTGTTTCTGGTTTGTAGGTCACCGAAGAGCAGCTTGCGGTTCTCTTTCTCAACTGTGGACAGGTATACAATCTTACTATGTTCAGTGTATTGATGTCTTCGAGCTTGTTTCTCATTTGGTTTCTTGTTGTTTTGGAATCTGAAGGTTGTCGATTGTCGTATATGTGGTGATCCTAACTCCGTTCTCCGATTTGCTTTTGTTGAATTCACTGATGAAGGTACCCTGTTGCGAAATTTTCTTAGTAATTGATATTTCCAGTCATATTTATTAACTTTTCGAGAGATGTTTGCAGAGGGTGCTAGGGCTTCTCTGAGCTTGTCGGGCACTATGCTTGGTTTTTACCCTGTTAAGGTGCTTCCCTCCAAAACAGCTATTGCGCCAGTTAACCCCACATTCCTTCCTAGGGTGAGTTTCACATAACCATTGATAACCCGGGATTTGTAAAACAGACTCACCTCATATGAGCTTGATTTAATTCTTACTATATTGTGGTTTTGTAAATTATTTTGACTTGATCATTGACCTAGCTAAACTCGGGATGGAATCTCTAAGTTGTTCTAAAATCGTAGTTATCCATTATGTATTTGCATAATGCCACTTCCTGTTTCAGTCTGACGACGAGCGAGAGATGTGCTCTAGGACTGTCTACTGTACTAACATTGAGAAGAAGGTAAACATTTTTTTCAATGACAATTTTTTACGTGGTCATGTTCAAGCACTAAAAGTTAAAACTAGTAACCATTTTTTACGAGGGACCTTTACACGTTAATCTCAGTTGATTGCTAGCACTAAAACTAGTAACCTGTTCACGTTTGTGCTCGGTGTGTTTTGTTTGGTCACAGATCACTCATTCGGACTTGAAGCTTTTCTTTGAATCGATTTGTGGGGAGGTATGCCTTTACTATCTCACTGTGACTGATATTTACCAGTATTGCAAAGTTTTTGTTCCGCTATCTTTTTCTACTTGTGTTATATAGGTTCAACGCCTGAGGCTACTGGGAGATTATCACCACCAGACCCGCATTGCTTTTGTTGAGTTTACGCTGGTAATTCCGAATTCCTGTTCTATTTACTTGTTATCGGATATAAACTTGTACACGTTTGTTAAATTCACATGATTACATCGTCATTCATGCATGCAAATATGCATTCACACTTCACGGTCTTCTGTAATCTGTAATAATTGTTTTGTGAAGCAATACGAGTTTAATGCATAAAGAACTTTTTTATGTTTATGCTTAAAAAGCTTTAAATTTTTCCGTGTTTAGGCTGAAAGTGCAATTGCTGCACTCAACTGCAGTGGTGTCATCTTGGGCGGGCTCCCCGTAAGGTAAGGGAATAACGTTTCATGTTTTGGTCGAGCACTTTTCTCGTATCCTCTGTTCTAAAACACATCCATTCACTTAGCCTATGAGCTCGTTTCAGTTTTGGGTGCTTGCCCTTCAATAACCGGGTTTTCCCCCTGCACAAGTACTTTTATGTTTTGAATTTCGATGTTCTTTTGATTAATCTAGAAAGCCTGATTTAAGGGAAAACAAATTAGGGTTTCTGTTAGATTTCACTGTGGGTAGGTTAACTGCGAGTTTTCAGTTATTTCATATCCGGATCGCAAGTGAATTTGCAGAGATTTCGGTCACTCGTAATGCAAACCCCGTTTTGTGTTTGCACGTTAAGTTTTATACGGTAGGTAGTTTGTACATGCATTGATAAACGGATTAAAACAACTCATTTCTCTCCAAAATTAGGTCATACTCGGGTGGGTCTGTACGTTCTTTTCTGCTCCGGTTTCCACTGAAATTGCATGAAAGTTTTGTTCTTTGCATCCCGGGTTCGCTTGTAAGAGACGGGTTTTCGCCATAGATGGTTTTAGATCTTGATTTTCTTTCCGGAAATCGTGGTTCGGAGATAGAAGGAAACCAGGGTTCCTTGTAGAAAATACTCAACAATGTACAGAAGAAAGCATCCAAACAGTGGCTTCTCCCCCTTACACTCACCGCTCTCCATGTTCAGTGTAGCCACCCGATTATGTACTGAGGCCTCATCTTTGCTTTGGTTTTTTTTTTTTTAAACGTGTGAAGGGTGAGCCCGTCCAAGACGCCGGTGAGGTCGCGCCTTCCCCGCCCACATTTCAACTGAGAGAGAGAGAGAGAGAGAGAGAGAGAGAGATTATGTATACAGCTGCTGTGCTTTCCTTTGAGGAGGCGTTTTTTTTCCTGTTCATATCATTTTGTTTGTATGGGTGGGGTTGCCCAGTAGTGTCTTTGAGAACCACTCTCTTATGTTTCTTCTCTTCTTCTTTAGATGACTTTTTTCCCTTATAGAGACGGGAATTTTCTTTCGGAATTTTATTTTTATTATCCCTTTTCAATGTTTCATGGATTATTTAAGACCCCTTTACTACAAATCTTCAACACCTCTCTCTCTCTCTCTAAATTTTGTTGGTTTTTATCTGTTGATTTGATATTTGTTCCATTTTCATTCAAAACTGTATTTTTTTAAATGATTTTCATTTTTTGCTATTTTATAACTATTGTTGTATTCATTTTGAAATTTCTAGAGGGTTGACTAATTAGATTAGATAAAAAAATATTTTCTTTTAATTTTTATTCCGTCAATTTGATTCAGATATGGTATTATATCCCAAGTAAATGTGACTGTTTCTACTGTGCAGTCTTCTCTATTCATCATATTTATTTCTAGGGATGTCAATCAAACCGATTCGACCCAAATTCGCACTCGACCTGAAGATTTCGAGTTCGGACTTGAGTCGGTCCGATTTTTTTGGGTCTAAATAATCAAACCCGAAACTCGATCCTATAGATTTTTAGTTGGGTTTTTCTCCAATCCGCTAAATTTGTTTGTAAAATTTATTTTTTATTTTTTAAAAAACTGATTTTTCGCATTGATCCGAAACTTGATGTGAACCCCATTTAAAAATCTGAAATTTTTCACACGAAATATTTAGGTCCGAAGTCCTCTATTTTTTTAGTCGGACCGGACTTTGGATTTGGAACCAAAATTGACACCCTTTTATTTCTCTCCTATTCATCTACAATTGCTCCTTTTTTTTTTTTTTGCTTTATTGTTACTTTTCTTTAACCGTTCTCTTTAATATAAAAAATTTCAAGATTAATCTTTTAGTATACGTCTACTTTCCATTTTTACAGTATACATGATAATCTGATTTGGACTGTTGCATTTTTACCTGAATAAGTAATCGATTTGCTGTAAATTGTTTTAAAAAAATCGTCTCTTAAATAATATCTTATATTTATTAAACTAACTTATATATACATGCTTTATTGTTTATAACAATTAGTAGTACCTATAATTTGTCTAAATGAATACAAAACAAATAAATAACTGACGGGTTAGATTTAACAAAAGACAAATAATTCAGAAGGCAAAACGAATATATAAATTTTTTAACAAAAAAAAAACGAATATATAAATATCGTAAAAAAAGGAAGAAGAAAAAAGAACATAAAGGGTAAGCAGTGGTGTGTGGTCTCATATTACTGGTAAAAGGAGAATATGATTGTTGCCTCTGCCTCTCTTACATGGAATGGAATCCTATGTTTCCATTTCTTCTCTTTTGACTGGTCTTATTTATTTATTTATTAATTTATTATTATTATTATTGTTGTTGTTGTTGTTTTAAAATTGTTATTTATTATTCTTAGACGAAAATCAGATTTATTTTTAGACAACTAATCTTTTTTTGTTCCCCACGAAATTGTGACACATTTGGAAAATCTCAAGAGTGAAAACAATGGAAAGTATATTTTACTGACTGACAAATTAGTGAAAAAAAAAAATAGAATGTACAAGTAACTTATTTGAAAATTATAAATCATTGTGCTCCGATTTTGGTGGTTGATGGATAATCAATGAAGTTTATAAGAAGTGATTAGGATTAAATTTTTTTTATCTATAAATAATAAATTAGAATTAAAATGGTTTTTTATATTAAAGATTAAAAAATAATTGTCTTAAATATAAAAATCATTTAAAAATATTATAAGATCATAAATTATTAAAAATCTAATAAATCTTCAACTTACGCATAGATATACACATATATATATGTATATATCCTGTTCATAAGCCTATGTGTCCCATTAAAACAGAACAGATTTCCTTCACAAGGAGAGGCAGTGTCCCTTGTCTTAACCCTATCCGACATTGATCCCAACACATCACCAATACCCATTGTTTGTTTTATTTTTCTGACAAAATAATTATATATATATATATATATATATATTAATTCGTATTTCCAAGTTCCGACAGCAACTGTCTGCAACATTAAGCTCTATGGGAATAAACATCTAAAACATGAGTTGCAGTATTCATTAGCTTTCATCTTAACAATCATTTTTTTATATTCGTAATCTCCCATTCAATTTAATGCAACGACGACGCTATCTCATATATTAAAATATTAAATCTGATAATTATTGAAATTTGAGAAGAAATCAATAGAGAACTAAAAAAATGTGTTGAAATTATATATATATATATATATATATATAATAAAATGATTCTTGCATAATAGAATATTTACGCGTACTAAACACATTTGATCTTAACACATACATTCAATACAATTAATTATCTACAAATAATTTACCTTTCTAATAACAATTAAAGGCAACTTAGGTAAAAAAAAATTCTAAATAGATAAATTGAAAATTGAAAACTGGAAATTAGGTGTATGGAAAATGTAACTTCGAGATGTGCATTCACATCTTTTCATGTCACTATAATTTATATCTGACACAAAAGAAATATTTATATTTGTACATATAATTACAAAGCATGCCTACCTGTATTATTATATTATTCTTCCAGCGTTTTCTTTTTCACTTTTGGCTTTTCCTGAAACAAAATCGTCTAGGGCTCGCATTCATAGACGTTATTTGATAGGTTATTTTTTTTTTTTGTGTTTGGTGATTAATTATAAATAATACGGAACATGTCAATTGTATCATTATTATTATTATTATTAATATTATTAATTGGAGTAATATTAGGTCAGTTATGCATTGCTATTGTATCTACGTGCAAAATACATATTCTTTATGTAATAGAGAATAATTCCTCTGAACCAGTATATATACATGAGCAGTGTCTGCCATCTAAGAGGGACAAAAAAGTTTAGGGTTTTATTTTTGGTCGGTTAAGCCGATGGGGAAAACCGGAGGGAATTCTTGGTTAACGGCGGTTAAGAAGGTTTTCCGGTCACCGGAGAAGAGAAGCTCCAAAAGACGAGAAGATCACCGACATTACAACGACGACGAAGACGAAGAGCAGCAAAAGGTAATCTTTCACAACTTACACATTTTCTTTTCTGTGCATGCATTTATTATAAACAGCATTACATAATTAAGAAACATACATCTTATATATATATAATTATAAATGTGTGTGTGTATATTTCTTTTTCTTTTAAATCGTTTCGGTGTGATACAGAAGAGAGGAAAAAGAAGATGGCTGTTCAAGAAACCACCTCCATCTTCATCTTCTTCATGTCCATGTCAAGATCATCACTCCGCAGAAGCCATCGGAAACATAACATCCGCCGGGACTACCACGGAGGATACGGCGGCCGGAAAATATGTTCCGGCGGCGGAGGTGATGTTCATCTCTCGGCCGTCTGTCTATCTTAAACGGCACGTGGCCGCCATTCTCATTCAGACAGCTTTCCGAGGTTACCTGGTACTTAAATCTTTTACTAATCATGGCCCCATATTTTCCATAGTTTGCGATTTGTTCCCATTTTTTTGGATTGCCAAAAAACCTGAACTTCTGAAAGATGGTAAATTTTTTAAATAGTTCAAAACAGTCACCCGTAGGGTTGCTCTTACTTTTATCTAATTCAACTGTAGATGCTCTCTATATAAGATACAATATTGTACCAATAATTGTCTGACCAAAAAGTTGGATCTCGAGTTTGTATATAACGAGAGAAATATTATATAAGATTGTTTGCTGTGTGGTGTGGATTACGGTCTCAGCTTTGAAAATGGCGTTCAATGAAAACTTAGTTTGGTTTTGGTTCGGTTACTTGTGAATGAAGGCACGAAAGGCACTTAGGGCATTAAAAGGAGTGGTGAAACTACAAGCCTTAGTGAGAGGGCACAACGTAAGGAGAAGAGCGACGGAGGCTCTGATTCGGATTCAGGCTCTGCTTCGGGTCCAGGCTCGGGTCCTCCAGGGCCGGAAGAGAGCCGTGACAAATCCCGGCGACGACAATGAAGCGGCCTTCTCCCGCGCTTTTTCTAAACAGGTTCATATATACATATATAGATACATACATATATACGACACTCCTTGTCGACTGATGTGATTTTTTCCTTGTTTTGTTTCTATGGAAAAAAAGATGTGGAAAACAACAGAGAGAGAATCACACAGCGAGAGCGAGATGGAGCACAGAAAACCGGGTAGACTAAACCGGTTCGGTTATGAAGAAACCGAGAGGAGGATGTCAACCGACCAAAGCGTAGGCGAACCGGTTAAGATAGTGGAGGTCGATACGTATACGTATCAACACCAACAATGCCCCGACCGGACGCCGCGTGGGGTTCCTTGCAAGACGAGGCAAGTCCGCTCTATGCCAAATTACATGTCTGCCACTGTATCGGCCATCGCTAGGAACCGGCCACAGAGTGTACCAAGGGAAAGACCGAACTGGACCGGTTCAGAGAGAGAACCGAAGATTCAATCGGTTAAGAAGCGATTATCGTTTCATGAAATCAGCTCGTACGGTTGTACATTGCAGGGTCCAGAGGGTAAAATCATCGATGGAGATGATTCCAGAGCAGGTTACACTTGGTATGATACGAAAACCGGAGATTTTTGGTATTTGACTAGTGATGAGTTAACCGAACTGGTTAACCGGATGACCATGCGACCTTTGTAATTTTTCACGTTGACGTTTTCGTATTTTCAACCTGTTCCAAGCAGTTTTCTGTTATACATTTTAAATATATATATCCAATGATCGTAATTGTGATGTTAAAAGATCTAAACAAATATATATACCGGTTTTCCTATTAGTACCGATAACCATGGAAAATGGTTTAAATCGTTTATTATCCAGTCATATCAACTTGCGAGTTTACATTTATCAACCAAAAAAAAAAAAATGTAAACTCGCAATCTTCATCAATAACTGTTTATCGACAAATTCATAAATCGTCCACAATTAATAAAATATACTATTGAAAATATCTACAATCATTATTGTTGTGTACAAGGATAATGTTGAGGTTGAGTACCCGAACCCATGAGACCCGAGGGGAACCCGAAACTCGAGTTTCAGATTCGAGGCCGCCTTTCGAAAGAAACGGAGAGGGAGGCATACTGATGGCGGGAGGATATTGAGAAGCGGTGACGAGAGGTCGAAGGGCGAGAGGCGTACACGATGGGAGAGGATTAGGGATGAGGAGCTTATTAGTTGGAGTTTCATTTAAAAATTAAAACAACCATAAATATATATTACGGAAAATTCCAACTGCTACCTTCATTGGTTAGGTAAACCCTTCGTCTATATGCACGAGTCTACAATACACACATAGGTAAAATAACTGTAACTGACTGGAGACAGCTGAACAGATAAAGAATCGAATCCTCAACCTCTCACTATATTGATCATGTTCCTTATTAACTCACCTGAGAATTTTTTCTAAATACTTAAAATTTTACCAACCATGTGGGCGATTTTGCCTTATCTCGTCGGATATATTTATCTCTCCTTTCATTTTTTCTATGTCTTACCTCTCTCTTCTGACGCCTCACTGAAATCGCATCACGATCTTCACCTTCTTGTCTCATTGATTTTAGTGAGAAATTTTTTCCGTCGGCATTAAATAGAGAAATATATGGAAATTGTTAAATTTTACATTATTAAAAATGAACAATATCAATATTTATAGATATAAAAAATATTTTGATCATATATATCTTATTTAATCAATATAAATATCTAAAATATAATCTTTATCATATGTTTTAATATACTCAAACTCAAAGTGATAGAGAAAAAACATATTTTAAATTGAGAGTACCGAATAAATAGTTAGATTGGAGAGGCTTGAATACAGGGAAATAATGGATTCTTAATTGATTGACATCGATTTTTATTTTTTTGTGATAGATAGATCTGAAATATCTAGTTTGACGATGTGATGAAAATGAGTAGCAATTAAAACGCGAGTTGTCGAAAAATTGAGGTTAGTTTTTTTTTGTTTTCGACGTTAGTCAGTATTAAACCGGATACCATAATAATAAATATATTAAAAATCGTTGGAAATTTTTATTATTCAAAATAAATAATTACAATATTTATATATATGAAATACGATTTATTTAATTATAAACATCTCAAGTATAAAACATAATATAATATTATTGTAATCTTATCAAATCTGTTGTATATCCCTAGATATACTACTCCTCGTCTCGTCGATCATTATGACCTCGGATATCTCGCGGGCCGAAAATCTTGTCGCTGGTAGCTTTAGGGATTTGAAATAATTCTCCTTGATTCACAAATGATAATTACAAGACGTATATACAATTAGGAAATATTACATAGAATTAAATCAATCAGAAAAGATTTTCTTGGATACGTGTATAATTTTAAATACTATCAGCGGCATCCCTCCGGTAATCAAAATTTAGGTACCCGACTCAAATACAAACAAATAGAAACACAGTATACTCAGCTGCGGATCAAACGCGAAACATGGTTGCGAACACAGGTTCGGTTCCTAATTGTCTGATTAAGGTCAAATTGGTTTAATTTATTTATTTTATATATAGATGTATTAACAATTTAGTTGCCAAATATTAGTATCAGGTGATATGAATTTATTTTATTTTATTTTTACTGCCTACCAAGTATAAGAACAACATATATATTTATCCCGATTCAGATATTTATTAAAAAATACAATTTTTTATTTGATTTTTTTTGTTTTTAATATTGGACAGCGTTCCGATTTCAAATACAAAAAAAAAGATTATATATCATATTCTAAATATTAATATATGAAATATTCGAATACATATTGAAATATTTTATAATTTTCGAATATGCAAGCCATGTGCATTTTGATATGGATTGATTAGCAATCTCGGTGAGTGCCTCACTCGCAAATGCCTAATAATACATAAATTAAAATGCACATATTAACATCCAGATCATTATCTACTATAACTTCATATAAATCCAATCAAAAGTAAGTTTATAGATTTAGAATTTTAATTTTCACATTTATATTTTTGTTAATAACTAATACAGTAGTTGGTTGGTGAGTATCATCTATAAATAACTCCTCCATTAATTGGACTATTAACATGGTAATTATTAGATAAGATTAATATTAATAACCAATGATCTTATTCGATTTACATCTGTTTCCCTCTTATTTAAGACATATAAACATTGTTGAAATAGGAAAATAAATATGTGATTGAAGGAAATATTGATTTTAAGATATGATTATAAATAATAATGGACATAATATTATATCAAATATTGTGTATCGATCTTATTTATTTCTATTTCCTTTTTATTTGTCTCATAGTTTTCCTATAAATATGTGAGTCATTTTCATTGTAATTCAACAAGAAGAAGAAGAGATGTAGCAATAAAAGTAATTCCGTTCTTTTCTATTTGTCTTATTTTGTTTCCGCATTTTATTTTTCTACAAACATTAGATTCCGTTATGAAAATGCTAAATTGAACACTATGAAATCGTTTTTTTTTTGCAATTTTCTCTAAAATAATATTAAGGAAAAAAAAGAAAGAAAAAATACAAAAAAACACTGAACTTTTAAATTTTAATAAAAAAATACTGAATTTTTTATTTTATCAAATAAATATTAAATTTTTTAAATTTGACAAAATAAACACTGAAGTCTTCTACGATTGTCAAAATAGACAAAATAACTGATGTGGTATAATGACATGCAAACACGTCAGTTTATTTTATTTAGTGTTTTTTTGACAATCGAAAAAAATTCATGTATTTTTTGAATCATTAAAAAATTTCAGTGTTTTTGATAATCATAAAAAAGTTCATGTATTTTTTTGATTACTTAAAAATTTAATATTTTTTTTTATTCGTTTAAAATTTTTAATATTTATTTGATAAAAATAAAATTAATGTTTTTTTTTAAATTAAAAATTTTAGTGTTATTTTTAGAATTAAAAAAAAAAGAATATGGGCATTTTTGTGTTGTCCCTTCTACTCTTTTCCTAGTTTCCGCTCTCCTCGTTCCCTTTCTCTCTCTTCTTTCCCCCTTTCGAAGCTCACTTTCTCCCCTTCTGTCTCCTTTGGTCCCGAATCGGCGGCGGTGTTAGCCGGAGAAAGGCGTCGGAAGTGAGAACATGTCGGCATCTGCGGCGGCGGAGAAGCGGAGGGTGGAGGTGTTTGACGGCGAGGAGGACCTGGCTGTGGCTCTGGCCAAGTACACCGCCGATCTCTCCGCCAAATTCTGCAAGGAGAGAGGCGCTTTCACCGTCGTTCTCTCCGGTGGCGCTCTCATCGATTGGCTGAGGTGCGCGTGCTAACCTTTGTTTTTTCCTTCGTTTCTCGGATTTACGAGGCGGTTGAGCCTGTGGATTTCGGGTTTGAAATGTGAGAAATGGCTAACAAATGATTTGGAGGTCGTGGGTGCGGAGTTTCGGATTTAGGGTTTATCTGTGACATCTCATTGTGGGTGGATTTGGGGTTTCTCAAAGTATCATATGATTTGGTGTTCTGTGATTCTCGGGTAGTAATTACCGTGGATTCTTATTTCTTGTTGATAAGAACATACATATGCAAAGATTGCTCGTGCTTGGTATTGCAATATCTCATTCTCTTTACTTCCATTTTTACTGCTTCATATACGTTGAGTCGATCTTATGTTTGCTTTGTGATGATTGATTCAAGATGAAATGGAGTTTCTGTCGAATCCATGAAATTTCCTGTATCTCAAATCATGAATCCTCCAACAAGAAGACACCTTTCTCATGTGTCTTCTGGTGACTCCTCTTCCACGCAAAGGGAATAGCATAAACCCTTGTTTTTGTTGGAAATTATGTGCTCAAATTGCAGGAAACTGGCAGAACCTCCTTATATCGACTCGATCGATTGGTCAAAGTGGCACGTCTTCTGGGTCGATGAGAGGGTCGTTCCCAAACACCACGTTGACAGCAACTACAAACTGGCCTATGACGGCCTTCTCTGCAAGGTAACGCACTTTCTGTCTCAGCTTTTTTGTCAGCACTGAATGTGAGCTTGATGAACGTAAAGGTGGTAACATCTTGTTGAAATCAGCAGCACTACGATGGGTTTTCCTATGGAATTGCTGTCAGATTCTTGTTGAATCTCAATAGGTTTGAAGTTAATGTGCGTAGTGGTTAGGTTCTTGTTCAAATGGCTAGGTGCATATGACAAGCCTTCAGTTTGGTGGGTTCAATTCAGAATGGATAATGCTAGAAACTCCATAACCATTTCTCTTTCTTCTACTCCTTTCTCCAGATTCCAGTCCAGCCGGGCAACGTTTACGCCATCAACGACGCCCTCAATGCCGAGGGTGCAGCCGACGACTACGAAACCTGCCTCAAACAGTTGGTGAAGAACAACATAATCCTCACATCCGAATCATCCGGCTTTCCCAAATTCGATCTGATGCTTCTGGGCATGGGTCCCGACGGTCACCTTGCTTCCCTATTCCCGGGACATCGTCTTTGCAGCGAGAATCAGAAATGGGTCACCTTTATCACGGACTCTCCAAAGCTGCCCCCGGAGAGAATCACATTCACTTTTCCGGTGATAAACTCGGCTGCGTACAATGCCATGGTGGTTTGCGGGTCGGCGGAAGCCGAGGCAGTGGCTAAGTCTCTGAAGAACACGGGGAACTTACCTGCCGGATCGCTTACCGCAGAGGACGAGTTGGTTTGGTTTCTGGACAAAGCAGCAGCTTCCAAGCTCTGAAACATGTCTGTTGGCTTTCTGGTTCTGTCTGAAAAAAAAAACACAAACAAATTGATTCCTCTGTTTGGAATCGAATAATAAAACCGTACTTTTGTAATAAAATCGTACATGGCATGTGTAGAATATAGACTCTGATTTTTTCTTTTATCCGAAAAAACTTGAGAAAAATAGAACATTTTAGCGAAGAAAGAATCTTACAAATAATACACTAAATCTAAAGGAAGACCACTTCCTTTTTATCCTAAACGGATAACTTTAAAGAAATAAAATAAAGTATAAATTTATTAAAAACAATCGAAATCTAAAAATGTTCTAATAACAAGATTATTTCCAACAATATTGCTGTTAAATTTCTAAAATCCTCTTTCGGGATCAAATTAATACTAGTAGGAAGGTTTAAAAAAAAGAGGTTGAATTGATGTTCTTTACTATGGAAAAATTTTAAAAAAATAATTTGTTACTTGCGTTAAAAAAATCAGATTTTGTAAATTATTTTTTAAAACTCAAAATTATCTCAAACATATGTTGTTTAATTTATTCTAATTCTTGAATTATTTTTCAAAAACTTTTTTATACATTTTGTTCCTCACTTTCTTTTATTCTCTCCATTTCCTATAGTAAAATCAGAACGCAACTAAATCAACTTGCAATCGCCATCACCAAATCTCTTCTCACAACACCAAATTTTCTCTTTGTTCTTCCATTTCTAATTCCCTCTCGCGTCCATTTTTTTTTTTTTTGTTATCTTTCATATTCTTTTTATTCATTTATTTCCATCATTTATCCTTATAAGACCAACGACTTCATAGTCTACCGATCACCACCATCACCAATATGCGTGTATGAACTTATCTAAATATATAAACTTCTCCCATTGTTACGGGAGTGAAGAGAAATGATGAGATGCGAAAAGAATTTTTTTAATTTTTAAATAAGACTATTTAAGATAATAATAATTTAAAAATATAAAAGATAAATACCGAATATATATATATATATATATATGAGTGTTTTTATATTTATGTAAATTCCTTCTAAAATAACTTATTCTTTCCCGTAGAATTTATAGAAAAAATCACTAAATATTATTTTTAATAAAATATATACTAAGCATATTTTAAACTATATATATATAATGTTAAAATAATTAATCACGTCTAGGAACAGTTTTATCAAACACCGTGATTGTGTCCGCAGTCGAAGAAGGAACAAAGGCAAAGTGAAGACAAGAATCTATGCACATGATAAATAACATTATAGTATATAGGGAGAATCGCCGTAAAATATCTGTACTTTTCCTCAATTTAATATTTGTACTTTTTTTCATTACTGAATAATATCGGTATAATTGGTTTTTCTCAAAATAAATTCTATATTTTTAAATTATTGGCCAAAAAATACCTACCGTCAAATACCCGCCACGTAGACAAACGGAAATCCTACGTGGCGGCGAAATTCTCAACCTCTCTCCTAATAATCGCGCCATGTCATCGCCACATCAGAAATTAAATAAAAAATAAAAAAAAATAAATTACTTAATAATAATAATAATAATAATTAATTAATTAAATAAAAATTATAAAATAAATAATAAATATATATACACATACACATATGTATATATATACGTATATAAATATATACATACACATATATACATATATATATATACATATAAATACACATATATATACCATATATAAATATATATATATACATACACATAAATAGATCTTATACATACACATAAATATACATATATATGAATAATAAAAATATACATATACATACACATATACACATATACATATATATATATACACATGTACATATACATACGTATATAAATATACACATCCACACATATATATATACACATATATATACATACATATCAATACACACACATATATATATATATATTAATACATATATATAAACGTACATATATATATACATACATACATATATATTCGCATATATATACATATACATTATACATACACATATATATACATATGCCTACACACATATATATACATATATATTCAACACATACACATACATATATAAATAATATATACACATATACATGCTATATATATACATACATATAAATATATAAATGTATGTATGTGTATGTGTTGTATATGCATGTATATCTATATATATATGTATGCATATGTATATATGTATATATATATATGTGTATGTATAATGTATATGTATATATATATGCGAATGTATATGTATGTATGTATATATATGTACGTTTATATATATGTATATATATGTGTGTGTTTATATGTATGTATATATATGTATATATATGTATGTATATATTTATATACGTATATATATATGTATATATGTATATATATGTGCATGTATATATATATATATTTATTATTTATTTTATAATTTTTATTTATTTAATTAATTATTATTATTAATTATTTATGTTTTATTTATTTTTTTATTTAATTTCTGACGTGGCGATGATATGGCGCGATGATTAGGAGAGAGGTTGAGAATTTCGCCGCCACGTAGGATTTCCGTTTGTCTACGTGGCGGTTATTTGACGGTAGATATTTTTTGGCCAATAATTTAAAAGTATAGAATTTATTTGGAGAAAAACCAATTGTATATGTATTATTCAGTAATTAAAAAAGTACAGGTATTAAATTGAGACCAGAGAAAAAGACAGGTATTTTACGGCGATTCTCCCTAATATATACAAACAATACATACTTAAGATATATATATATATATATATACACATTCACAATCCCTATACATATAAGCAAATACATATTACATCAACTCAATAGTTGGTGGTTCAGTGGTTAAGACTTGACAAAGTCATCCTCATGATCCTGAGTTCGATTCCACTCGTGGAGAGAGATGTAATTTCTACACCAAAATGGTCCATATACAAAGGTCCTGGTTATAAAAAAACAAAAAAAAAAAATACATATTACGTCAATTTAAAGTGCATATATAAACGATTTTTGGTTTTTCTTGATTATAATATCAACGATTAAAGCACTGGATCCGAATAAAATTGTATTTTATGCTCAATATAAGAATAGAAAATTTGAAATTAGAATGGTATTCTTTAATTGTCTCTTCTCTCTCCCGTTTCCCTTGATTATTTATTATATATATATATATATATATATATATATTTATTAAATAGTATGCATATCAAACCGAGTAGCTGGGATCGAAATAATCCGGCTAATTATGGGCCAAAATGTACGGATTTCAAATTACGAATCTTAAATCCGCTTGTTTACCGGCCGGGTTGGCTGGATCCGAAAATTATGGGCCAAAATACGGGTTCGGACCTGGTCAACCCAGTTTGATTAGATTTTAATTATATATATGTAAATAGATAAATATATGCACACATACATATATGTATATGATATGTTTCTAAATATATTTAAAATATTAATAAAAATAAAAAAATGATATAACATAGACAATTATAAAAGTTTGTTTAATACTGAACAAATTTAAATTAATTTTAGTAGATAATACATTCAAAATTGTTTATTTTAAACAAATTGAAAAATATAATAATTTAATATTTAAATAACTATTATTACCACAAAAAACCTTGAAAGATCGAATTTTAATTTCTTTTAAAAAATATGTACTATTAAATTTTCGTTTTCTGGTTATATTGAATATGCATTAAAACTTTTATATTATGATTATTTTGGATTTGTGTTTTATAGTTTCTCCTTTCGTATTCATATGTAAAATAGAATTACTGAGTCTACCGCCTGGCGCGCGAGTTAGATTAGGGATGGGCGTTTTGGAAAACGGTTCGGGTTCGGGATGGAATAGATCGATTCGGTTCTTTCGGTTTTACAAAAATAGGTACCAATCGGGTTTTTTATTGTATTCGGTTCGGTTCGGTTTCAGTATCGGTTCGGTTCAGTTCCGGGTTTTATTAAAAAAATGATAGATTTCTTTTAAAAATATTCGGTTTTTCGGGATTTTTAAAATTCGGTTCGGTTCCGGAAAAATTTAGGTATCGTTCGGGAAATAATATGCGGTTTCGGGTCGGGAAAAATACCGTTTTAACGGTTCGGTTCGGTTCCGAAGTACTGAACCGAAACGCCCAGTTAGATATGTATCTCTTTATTATCCTTTAAAAAAATATTCAAGTATCCAAAGGACTATAGAACTCATTATTATTATGTTGTTTTGAATTCTTTTTCTCATATTTTTTGAAAAGAGTGTCGGTTGTGACATTGCGAATTCTATTAATTTTGTAATCGAATTTCTACCTAATATCTATGAATAAACATCGAAGTTGAATCAATCAAAAAACACGTATTTCTACACAAAGTTAATCGAGATTCCTAATTAGCTTTCAAAATCATAACAAATATGACTCTCAAAGTCTCAATATATATATATATACACACACATACATACATACATGCATGCATACATATTATATATGCGCATATATATACTTTTGCATGCGTAGCATATTGCACGGAAGGTATATAACGTCTGGTTTCTAACGAATCATAGATCAGATCTTAATGAATTATCATATTTGGTTGGTATATATATATATATATATGTTTTTATTTTCCTGTAACCTTTGATTGGTACATTATTATTCGACAAAAACAAAAAAAAGATGGATTATTAATGAGTTTCGTATTGAAAAAGACGTAAATCTATTTGATTATTTTGGAAACCGGATTACCTGTGACCATAAAATAAACATGAAATCGATGTTCATATCGCATATACATCAATTTGCCGGTCGGATGACGAACAAGGTAATATAATATAGTAATATACAAATATTTATAGTAATGAAATGGTCGGTCCACTTTTAAACAAACATTTCATATTTTTAAAAAAATTATTGTTAATACGAAATTAACTAATCATTGGAAAATATGCTCACCAATGTACTCCGAATCTTTTTATTTTCTAAAACAGTTCAAAAGATACCTTTTGGTATTCGTCTCTCTCACGTTCTCACACGCAAACATTATATACATGTATATATAAACGGAAATTATATATATTTATTAAATATTGTGCGTATTTTTCAAATATTAGGTAATTTCGTCTGGCAAAAAAAAAACATTGGGTAGTCTTTTTTCATGAATATTCGGTTGTGTTGAATTAAGAATTTACAAATATATATATATATATATATATATATATATATATATATCCTGAGTTATATGTTACAGTTTAAATATGCTTTTGTTTTATCTGCGGTGAATAATTATATTTTAATTTACTCTTTAATAATTCAATTACCACATCCAAATTGATACACACACACACACACATTAGTGTACTAACTTTGGTCCACAATCAGACACTATAACTAATCTTTGACCAAACCTACCAAATTGTCCCTCTTTTCTTTCCTCTTTAATTAATATCCCATTATTATTTTTATCTATTACATCCATTTTTTCACATGATCTCCCGTCACAATATACATATATATATATATATATATATACATGCATTTACATAGTACTTTACTAGTTCCAATTCCATCCATATATATAAGCCTTGGGGGATAACCGTTTCATTGGACTCTTAACATGTTAATTAAATAAAAATAAATATTAATAACAAAGACATATATCTATTGATTTGGCAAAACATTAGATTCTGAAACGAAATGCTAATTGTAACACACCAAAATAACAAAAAAAATCCAGACAATATTCAATTTATTTATAAAATATAATGTTTTTCGGAAATTGACCATGGGCTAAGAGAGACATAATAATTACGTTCAATCGATTTCATGACCCTTTAATTTTTATAGCTTACGTATTAAGAGAATGGTAACTATCGAGATACAATCCAATTTTTTTTTTGTTGAAAACACTATTTTAGAAATAAAAAAAATAAGAAATGATAGTTTATATGTAAAGGAAAAGATACTAGTTACAATTTAGAATAATTATCAAAATATATATTAATATATATAGGTCTAAATATACAAAAGTACGTGTTTACCAAAATAAATATAGAATTGGCGCACCATTTAAGTGTGGGTCTATCAATGAAGATGGTTAAAAAAATGCATTCCTTTGAGTATTTATACCAATCACAAGCAACATTTTTAATATAAGTTTTGCTAAGTTTATAATTGTTGTTATCTAAAAACAATGCCACAAAATTATGAACATCTTATCTTACGGACCCAACAGTTGGTGGTCCAATGGCTGAGAGATGACAAAGTTATTCTCAAGGTCCTGGGTTCGATTCCACTGATGGGGAGAGATGTAATTTCTGGATTAAAATGGTTCATATACAAAGGCTGGTACCGGGTCTAGGGTGGATGTAGTCGAGCCGAAGACCCGAAGAACCATCTTGGTTATCAAAAAAAAAAAATCTTTATCTTACGACAATTATTATTATTATTATTATTATTATTATTATTATTATTATAATATTTCAATACTCCAATTTATTCTGAAGATATTTTAATAACTCAATTCCTTTTATCAACAAATTTCCAATGGAACAAAAGTGTGTTAATATGTTAGAGATACAATGGAACAAAAGTGTGTTAATGTATCAAAAGTTATTGAGGTCTTTTAATATATTATCTCTAATTTGGGTGATAATTTTTATATATTAATTTTCTTTGTATTAGTATATTATCATTCTATTTAATAATAAATCTAATGCTATGACAGGTCAATATCATTGTATCATGTTATATAGATATTTTTCTGTAACAGTAAAAGATAATTTTTTTAAATACTAAAATATGATCCGAATTTAAAGTATTAAAATAAATAGAAAAAAAATAAAATTTGAATTAAAATATATTAGTTTGAATAGCGAAAATACAGGGGAGTTGTAAATTACAATTATAAAATCAGAGCACACGACACGACTGTGCCGAACTTTGTAAAGACGGAGAGCCCTCGAGTCGCTTTACTCGGAAGAGAACTTCCCTCGTAGATAGATTCTAGAGAGAGAATTCCCAATTAGGCCCCCCACGTTTCTAGAGAGAGAAAAGTAAAAGTAAACGAGAAGACGACGAAGCCACTCGGTGGACGCGGCGAGGGCGTTTATGTCCTTTTACATGGCAGTCTCCGGCGGCGACGAGTGACCGCATCGCTGCGGCGGCAGTATCTTTGGCTACGGCGGCGTTGGTGGTAGGTTAAGCAGATTTCGGTGTGCCTACGCCGGAGATCGAGAACTGCCGTCTACGTCACCATATTTCCGGATTTCTCGCTTTGGTTGCGGCGGTTCCTTTGAACCGCTAGTTTATCGCCGATTTGTACAGGGATTTTTGAATTTTTCTGCGGTCGGAGAATCGGAGTTCGGATTTGATTAGGTTTAATCTGTGGAAGAAGAGAGAGAGAGAGAGAGAGAGAGAGAGAGAGAAGAGAGGAGTCTGGTTTTGACTTGGCATAGATGAAAGCTCTCAGACGAATTCAAACGACGTCGTCGGCTTCGAATCCGTCGTCGCCATTATCGTCTTCTCCGTCTTCTTCCTCATCCTCTTCGTGGATCCACCTGCGATCTGTTCTATTCGTTGTCTCTTCTTCGTCTCCATCTTATTGTTCTTCTTCGGATCGGTGAGTGAAATTAGATCTCTGTCAGTGTCGATTTCTGGTTGAGGGTTGCCCTTTTTCTAATTTTTCGTCAAACCTTTTGAATTAGATCATAGTATCTCGAATCTCTTGAAATTTGGCCTGGGTTCCTTCTTCTTTTAGACGATTGTATAAGTTTTAGTTATTTGCTTGTGAAAATTTGTTGACTTATTTATGAAGTATTCAGTTCGACTTCATCATACATACACATATGCGGTTGTTCTATCTTCTCTTGAGAAATATATTCAGCTGAAATAATTCAGAATGTGTAAGCAATTTCAATACTATTGGACGGCGAATTATGGATTGTTAGATACTCTTTCCGTTCACAGATTCATCTTTAAGGCTATGAAATTGCTACTTGTGTGTTTCTATCAATAGAGCTTGTGTATATGTTCCATGCCTACCTATTCCTTGTAAGAACGAGCAAGCACTCTGTCGAAGACAGGTTGATATGTCTGTTTTCATGTTCAGGCCTCATCTCAAATCGCCATGGTCCCGTAGGAAAAGGAAACGGCCCCTAACACCTCAGCGGTGGAAAAGATTGTTAACGCCAGAGGGTAGACTCCGGAATGGAGGAGTGGGCTTGTTGAAGAAAGTCCGAAGCAGAGTGAGTTTGCAGTTTTTGTGCCGCTCTCACCGTTCTAGTGAAGTTTGTCGAGGTTTTTTCAAATGGCTTTGAGATGTTTATCTCTTTCTTGCTTCTTTGTAGGGCATTGATCCGAGCATACGGTCAGAGGTGTGGCCGTTCCTTCTTGGAATGTAAGCAGGCAATCCATGTTTCTCCTAAGTTTCAGCCCTTTATGCCAAAATATTGCGATCAAATCTTTCAGGCAACTCAGTGGTTATACTCTGTTGGGTGCATTTCAGCCCATTTGGGAAGTGGCTTTCTACTGATTTGCATTTATAACGACAATATGTTGTTTTGCGTGTGATTTGTTGGAATAAAAAACGTTATCTGTTGAGAGAGCCCAAATTTCCTAACATCTGATAGAATTTGGATTGAATAATAGCACCTTGTTGTTAGCGGAAAAATGGCGCATCTCATACATATTATCACGCCTGATACTCTGAGACTTGTAGTTTTGTTCTTATTTTCTTTACTGACTCCCTTTCCGTAAACAGGTACGATTTAAATAGTTCCAAAGACGAGAGAGATGCTATAAGAACTCAAAGAAGGTGAGAAACAGATGGATCCACTAGTTGAGAAAATCAGATGTTCTTGTGTTATGTTTCTTTTTAGTTTTCTTGTGTTCTCTATCCTTTTCACCCGTAAAAAATTGCAGAAAAGAATACGAGAGATTACGCCGGCAGTGCCAACGGCTTCAAAAACGCAACAGCAGAAATTTGAAGATGAATAAGATTAGTGAAAGCAGTCAGGACAGGGATGGTTTGTCTCTTGCTCATGACACAGACAGTTCGTGTTCCGAAGACGTAGTCAGCGCCCGGGAGTCTCTTTCTAGCGAGGAAGACATTGCAGAAGAGATTCAGTTCATGAATGAACTCTCCAGTTCGTTACTCGTAGGAGAAAGCAGCGGTTCAAGACGAATCATCACCACTGCGGCTAACTCTACGATGAACTCCGAGTCATCAGACTCAGATTCTTCAGACGAAAACGAAGTAGTTCAGTTCTTTCCATCTTCCGAAAGCAGGAGGGACCACCCCAACGATTGTCTGGATGACAATTATACATCTCCGTCTAGCAGATCAATTCCTCGGACCGAAGAGGATTTTACGACATGGCAACGTATTATCCGTCTAGATGCAGTGCGGGCCAATTCTGAGTGGACCCCTTATTCCTCCCAGGCCGCAGTACCCGAAGACAGGGCCCACCGTGCAGCTGAAGCAGTTGGATTAAAGGATTACAACCACTTGGAACCCATCAAAATCTTTCACGCGACGAGGCTCGTGGCTGTTCTTGAAGCCTATGCCTTATATGACTCTGACATTGGCTATTGCCAAGGAATGAGCGATCTTCTCTCGCCGATACTCTCCGTCATATCCGATGATCATGTGGCGTTTTGGTGCTTCGTCGGGTTCATGAAGAAGGCTCGTCACAATTTCAGGCTGGATGAGGTCGGAATCAAAAGACAACTGAGCATCGTCTCGAAGATAATCAAGTCCAAAGACTCGCAGCTCTACCGGCACCTCGAGAAACTCCAGGCAGAGGACTGTTTCTTCGTTTACAGGATGGTTGTGGTGATGTTCAGACGGGAACTGACGCTGGAACAGACTCTTTCTCTCTGGGAAGTGATGTGGGCAGATCAGGCCGCGATCAGGGCCGGGATCGGGAAATCGGCATGGAGCCGGATAAGGCAGAGGGCTCCACCGACGGATGATCTGCTGCTGTTTGCAATCGCGGCTTCGGTATTGCAGAGGAGGAAACTGATAATAGAGAAATACAATAGCTTGGATGAGATACTGAGGGAGTGTCATAGCATGGCGGGGCAACTAGACGTGTGGAAGCTCTTGGATGATGCACACGATCTCGTCGTCACCCTCCACTCCAAGATCGAACCTTCCTTATCCGGGTTATCTGGATCTGAACAGAATCCACATTTATCCAGATCTCTGTCAGCAAAACAAGACTAGCGATTCGCGGCCCGATTGAACTGATGTGTGTTTGTGTGTGTATATATATGTGCATTCAACTCCGAATGGCGGGGCGGGTCTGTTCTGACCGTTGATTCGAGCTGATTGTTGACAACGGAAGGCGGATTAGAGGAGAATGTTAGGTAGCCGTTGTCGGAATCTTTACTCTGATATGTTTTCCCGAAATCCGGTCTCTTTCCTACATCCATTTTTTCACATGATCTCCCGTCACAATATACATATATATATATATATATATATACATGCATTTACATAGTACTTTACTAGTTCCAATTCCATCCATATATATAAGCCTTGGGGGATAACCGTTTCATTGGACTCTTAACATGTTAATTAAATAAGAGACCGGCTTTCAGAGACATCGTATACATGTTTTGTGTCTTGTGTTTGAAAGGTGAGATTCCGGCGAATATTTCCTGTAACCACAGCCGGAATATTCCATCAGAGAAAGAGAATCTTTCGTTGACGCCTTGTTGAAGAGGGAAGAACATTAGAGGCATTGGGATTATGATGGAGATGATGACCCAAGTGAGCAAACCGAGGATTTGTTTTATTATTTTGGATTTGTTTCTTGTTGGATTATTTCCCTATTTAGGATTAAAAGTTAAGGGAAAAAGTGGGGTTCAAGACCTAAAAGAGTTTTGTATTGTTTGAATCCCACATTTAGGTCCCAACGTCCCGAACTCATCCGAAAAAACAAAGATCTAAAAATATAGATGTAAGATTTCGGGTTGTGGGTCGAATGGATTACGGGTTGATCGGATTTCCGATCCGCAGGGTCTACTACTAATAATCATTTATTTTAATTAGATTAAAATTTTTGTTCAATTCTAATTTTAAACAATTAAAATAAAGAAAATAATATATAATTAGATATATTTTGTAATAACGTTTTAGAATTTATTTAAGCAAATTGTAATAGAATTTGAATTAAATATAAAAGTAATAAAAAAATTCGAATATTAATAAAAAAATTTGTAAAAATTAAAAATTGAATTAAAAAAATGAAATTAAAATATATTCGAGATTTAAAGTATACAACCTAGTTTTGTTTTTTTAATTTGCAATTTAGTTCATTGTTTAAGATTTATATAGAAATAATATTTTCGCACTATTTAGTTTGGATTCTTTGATTTTAATGATATTTTTGATGAATATGTAAATATTTGTTATGTTATTTTTTTTTATGATTGTGTTATGGTTATAATAAGAAAATTATTTTTTTGTTATTAAATAATGAAAAGGAGGAATTGCAAAAATAACCTCAATTGTGGATTTGACTTCAAGGGATGACCCTGACTTTTTTTAAAAAAAAGACAACATCATCGCATAACCTTATAATTGCATCTTTCCAAAAATACCCTTTGTTTTTAATTTATTATTAAATTAAAAAATATATATTATAAATCTTTTTTCTCTCTCTTCTCTCTCTCCTCTCTCACCTCTGTCGAATTACCGTTCTTCTATGGTTTGGAGGCTTCATCTCCATTTCTTTTTCAGCTAATTTATTGTGAAAAAATAACATTAAGTTTGAGCATTTCATCGATTAAACACTGATCTAAATAAATCTGAATAAAGGAAAGTATTGTTTATAAATTTCTTTATTAAATTTGAGCATTTGTAAGTATTTTTGCTTTGTTGTTTTCTCATCTTTATATTTGATCCATATGAATATGGGTTGAATAAAAAATGATATATTTATCAGAAATACCACGATTCACGTTATTTAAACTGGTCGAAATCATTAAATTTGTGAAATTCATCAAAACGGAAGAATTCAGGAAACTGGTCATACATACGTATCGGAATGGTCAGACTGGTCATACTCCTAACTGGTCATAATTCTCAAACTCGTCAAACTGGTCATACTTGCAAAACTGATCATAAATTAAATCTAAACGATTCGAAAAGTTGTATAGGGGTTATAAGAATACTTTTGCATCGTTTTGAAGTTCTAATTTCACGTGGAAAAAAAATCTCTCAACATAAGCCAATTATACTCAATGTGTTACATAAACACTACTATTACTTTAGGTCTTCTTTGGAAAGAGTTACATTGACAAACAAAAAATGTACTCAATCCATATTGGTACGACCGATTTGAACTTGAAATATTTGTGATATGATGTGATTATTACAATGTTAACACTTTTAAAATGATGAATTATGCAATTTCGAACAAGTCTGACCGTCTGACCAAGGTATGACAGTATGACCGTATGACCGTCTGACCATTCGGGTACGAAAAAAAAGACCTAAATTAAATTCAAACGATTAGAAAAGTTGTATAAGGGTTACAAGAATACTTTTTTATCGTTTTGGAGTTCTAATTTCACGTGGAAAAAAAATCTCCCGACATAAGTCAATTGTACTCAATGTGTTACATAAACACTACTATTATTTTAGGTCTTCTTTGGAAAGAGTTACATTGACAAACAAAAAATGTACTCAATCCATATTGGTACGACCGATTTGAACTTGAAATATTTGTGATATGATGTGATTATTACAATGTTAACACTTTTAAAATGATGAATTATGCAATTTCGAACAAGTCTGACCGTCTGACCAAGGTATGACCATCTGACCGTCTCACCGTCTGACCATTCGGGTACGAAAAAAAAGACCTAAATTAAATTCAAACGATTAGAAAAGTTGTATAAGGGTCACAAGAATACTTTTTTATCGTTTTGGAGTTCTAATTTCATGTGGAAAAAAAAATCTACCAACATAAGTCAATTGTATCCAATATGTTACACAAACACTACTAGTGGTTTAGGTCTTCTTTGAAAAGAGTTACTTTGACATTCAAAAAAGATGCTCAATCCATATTATTGCGACCGATTTCAACTAGAGAAATCAGTCATACGATATGATTATTATGATGTTAACACTTTTCAACCGATGAATCTTGTAATTTCAAACAAGTCTGACCGTTTGACCAAGGTATGACCGTATGACCGTCTGACCATTTGGGTACGAAAAAAATGCCTAAATTAAATCTAAACGATTCAAAAAGTTGTATAGAGATTATAAGATTACTTTTGCATCGTTTTGGAGTTCTAATTTCACGAGGAAAAAAAAATCTCTCGACATAAATCAATTGTACTCAATTTGTTACGTAAACACTACTATTATTTTAGGTCTTCTTTAGAAGGAGATACATTGACAAACAAAAAATGTATTCAATCCATATTGGTACGAGTTGTTGATGACATCGTTGTTCTTGACACCATAAACAAAATCAGATCGGTTTGACCGATGTGACATTTCAATAGCCAAAATTTCTTTGAGGATTTTCATCAAACACTTTCCATGCATTCTCAAATTCTTCAACTTTGTTGTGTCGGATCTCGTTTTAGAGGAGAAGTTTGACGAATGTAAGCTTAAATGATATTGTTTCTTCGAATCGAATCGAAGTGAAACTCTAATAAACCAAAAATTCAATATAAGAAGAACATGTTTGATCTACACTTTTAAATTCATAAATTCATCATTTTTAAAAAAGTCTGACTAGTCTGGCTCGTATAATCCTATGATGAGTCTAATGATATGATCAAAATATGATCGGTATAACCAAAGTCCGACCGTATGACCAAAGTCTGATCGTCTCATCAAAGTATCATCGGTTTGACCAAAGTCTAACCGTCTGACCGATTTTAAAAATGTGTTATATGAGATTATTATATCATATTAACACTTTTAAAATGATAAATTCATCAATTTTTAAGAAGTCTGACCGTCTGACCAAATTCTGACTGTATGACTAATGTCTCACCGTCTTATCAAAGTGTGTTTGGTATGACCATTTTTACACGAAAAATAAAGGTCTAAATTAAGTTTAAACGATTCAAAAAGTTGTATAAGGATTACAAGAATACATTTCATCGTTTTGGTGATCTAATTCCATGTATAAAAAAATCTCTTAACATAAGTCATATTCACTCAAAGTGTGACCGACTGACTAAATTGTGAACGTCTGACCAAAATCTAATCGGTATGACCAAAGTCTGACCGATATGATCAGTATGACGTTTTAAGAGCCAAAATTTCTCTGAGGATTTTTATCGAACACTTTCCATGCATTCTCAAATTCTTCAACTTTGAAATGTCAGATCTCGTCATAGTAGAGAAATATGTCGAGTATAAGACGAAAATTGAAAAATTTGTTGTTAGAATCGCCAACGAAATCTCTTTGGAGAGAAAAAGAAAAAAATGCGTTTTGAATTTTTAAAAAAAAGTGAGAGAGTAAATTTTCTGAATGTTTTTTTTTTCATTATATAAAGAGTTGCCACGTATTCAATTTTTTAAGGGCAAACTAGTCTTTTCATCATTTTAGTTTTTTTTTTGAAAACCCTAAACCTAGAAGGTCATCCTTGAAGTCAAGATAGACATTTGAGGTTATTTTTGCAATTTTGCCTAATGAAAAAGTCTAAAATCTGGTATGAGTCCATTCGAAACCCTGTACAATGGGGCCACTGACCCTTCAATTAGGCCCAAAGGTTTTATTGATCCGGCTGATCTGGCCCAAAAAAATTCTGACCCTAATTGAACCGATCTGAATCCGCTCATTTTCCTAGTGGTCTAGATTTCCAATAAAAACTGAGCTTGCAAGTTCGGTAAAGACATCAAAGCATATAATATAAAAACATATACACTCCGAGTTTGAAAGTGAGAAAAATATGGTTTATTATGCCATATATTTCAATTTGCGGAATAAGAAAATATACAATGACAGAATTTACTAAAGAATATCAGCTGCTGGATTTGCTTCCTTTTTTCTGTCATTTTTCATTTATCTCTTTTGCATTTCTGCATCTCGTATTATTTATTCTAAATACCAATTTCCCAGCAAAAAAAAAATAATTTAAAAATAAACGGAGGACACATTGGGAAACTGCGCGAGCCAGCCAGCAGAGCCTGTAATAGTGGCGCCAAATAAAGCCCATCTGTCGATTTTCCCGCGAAAAAATCCCCCATGTCAGCGCGCGAACGCTCCTCGCCTCGGCCTAAGTCTTTACATTTATACTCGCTCTCTCTATGACATTCACTGCGAAGCTTCGTGATAAGCAGATAGATCGAGAATGGCAGTGCTTCGGCGGAGAAGAACCCAGGCGCCAAACCCTAGCGTCGATCCTCCGCCGTACGCAGCGACAGATTCCGATGTTTCCGATTCGGATTCCGACACGGTCTGCGAGGAGTGCGGCTCGGGGGAACAACCTGCGAAGCTGCTTCTCTGCGACCAATGCGATAAAGGGTTTCATCTCTTCTGTCTCAGACCAATCCTAGTTTCTGTTCCTAAAGGCCGCTGGTTCTGCCCTTCCTGCTCTAAGCACAAGATCCCGACATGTAATGCGTCTCCTCTAATTTCTTTCATCCAGTTTTTCTGAGAAATTCTTGTTTTTTTTATTCTTTAGTTATGAAATTTGTTAGCTTAGGATATGATTCTTCTTTATTCAGTATCTGATTTTCTGGGTCTTTTGGAGAATGTTCTGAACTTGACTGGAAGATGGGATTTCTGGGTTTAGGGTTGACTGTGAATTGCAGAAACATTGGCTTTGATGTTTCTATGAATTTCGATATGGGTATTTATGTGAAACTCGAAAAACTTTGTCTGAAATCATTTACCTGCTTTGGTTTGCAAAGGCTCACTCATCCTTAATCATTCCTGTGAATTTGTTTTCAACTGTGTGATTCTCATTCCTTAACCCATTAACTGAAGTTTATATCCTTGCAGCTTTCCCTCTTGTTCAGACAAAGATAATAGATTTCTTCCGGATTAAACGGTCCTTGGATCTAACTCAGATCTCCGATTCAGGTAGATTGATTTGGGCTTTCGGATTTCAGTCTTCTTAGATTTTGAATCTATTTTGGGGGAAAGGGAAATGTGAATGCGGAAGTGGAAATGGCTGCAGATGGCACCGGGAAGAAGAGGAGGAAGACCAGCTTGGTAATGTCGAAGAAGAAGAGAAAGCTTCTTCCATACAACCCGAGCAAAGATCTTCACAGGAGACTCGAGCAAATGGCATCTCTTGCCACTGCTTTAAAAGCCTCTGGCACAGAGTTCAGCAATGATCTCACCTATAACAAGCCCGGAATGGCTCCCAGATCTGCAAATGAAGCTGTTCTTGAGAAAGGAGGCATGCAGGTATGGTGTTTTCTCGGTACAAGTTGGTCAGGCTGAATAATATTTCATTACTAAACCTCATTGCCAGCAAATAGCTGTGTTTGGTACACGAAATTGTATTCGTATACAATATGCTACGTCATATCAAAATGTAAATGGTGCAGTTTTCGGATAGTGGATTGCTTGCTATCCATTCTTTTTAAGTTAAAATGTGTTCTTTGTTTAACCATAATGATTTCGCAAGGAACATTTTCTGACAAACCCGGATAAGCATATTATAACAGAAGCTGATACTCGTGTCTAAAAGTTTGCTCCTGCAGGTTCGGTAATGGAATAAAGAATGCAGGATCTGATTGTTTAGTGATTAATTCACTATACTATCACTCGTTCGTTATCATGTTGCTACACTAATGTTATGTTTAGGATCTCTTGTTGAAAGTGTTTGCCTTTTTCATTTCGTTTTCTCGAACTGAAAAGTATGTGTTCAATGACATTCAGATTCTGTCCAAAGAGGACACAGAAACCTTGAGCTTTTGCAAGAAGATGATGGACTGCGGGGAATGTCCTCCTCTTATGGTCGTCTTTGATCCTTATGAAGGGTACGTTATTTCCAACACCGATATGATAAGGATTATAAAAACTTTGCACAAGATTGCAAGATTTTATGCTGTATTCAAATGGTTGCAAATTACAAATGTGGGAATAGATGGGCACTTGGATTCAACTAAAAGTGCTCTCCCTCGGGATCAAAAAACGATTGAAGCGAGCAAAGATTGATTCGACGTTTTAAACTTGTTGAAGCAGGTTCACGGTAGAAGCAGACAAGTTCATAAAAGACTTGACCATAATCACAGAGTACGTAGGAGACGTGGATTATCTGAAGAACAGAGAAAACGACTACGACGGAGACAGTATGATGACTCTGCTTCACGCATCTGATCCTTCGAAATGCCTTGTCATTTGCCCCGACAGGCTCAGCAACATCGCCCGCTTCATCAGCGGTATCAACAACCACACCCCGTAAGTTCTTTACCTCTGGTTTCCCTTTCTCGGGTTCGGCTGAAGAACCCGTGAATCGAATTGTCTCGAGTGTCAGGCTGAGTGAGTTGGTTGCCGTGTTCTGATGCAGGGAAGGTCGGAAGAAGCAGAATCTGAAATGCGTGAGGTACAACGTGAGAGGAGAAGCTCGGGTTCTTCTTGTGGCAAATAGAGATATATCGAAGGGAGAACGATTGTATTACGACTATAACGGTTACGAACATGAATATCCAACCGAACATTTTGTATAAATCCATTCTTTCCTGACATCATCGTTATTTACAATCAAGTTGAGTCACAGAGCCACGGAGTTCGGTTTCACCCGATTCATGATGATGATGTATGAAACATAGGACTGATGAGAAGATAGAGTAGTCTGGTCCGAACCCTAAGGACTTAGGGACCGACGTAGCAAAAGTTCTCGTCAAATATTCCCCCCTAATCTCTAGGGGGTGTAAAACGGATGGACGGGTTCGACCCGGTTTAATCCAACCCATACCGATCTCATATTTTTTTTTTGTCCATCCAGCCCTCTACGGTTCATTTTTTATGAGCAAAAAATTATTTAATTCAATCTAATTCAACTTAGATCATGAGTTTACCGAACCAAATAAATAATTGAAATATTAAAAAAATTAAACAAAACAAGCCAAATACTTATTAGAAACATAATTTCTATATAAACAATTTTTAAAATATTAAAAATTAAATCTAATCGAAAAAATATGAATTGACTCGTGTGTCGGCTCACGAATCCAACCCATTTGATATCTTTGACGATAATCGTCTTTGGGTCCCATTCTCACCAGCCTCTTCTTCTTTTTCTTTTTTTTTTTTTGTTATTTTGCATGTTTTTACAAAGATCTTTATCATTTCAAAATTCATATTTTACAATTAATATCCACTCTTATCATTTTATTTATTTATTTTATATGGAGAAATGTCTACATTTAGTATAAATTCTATAAAAACGTTTGTTTCAATGATATGTTATAATGCCTCCATCAATATCTTATTATCATTACGAACTTACCAATTAGATTGACCCACCATCATGATATGTATATACATACAAACATATAGTGTAATCTAAGGACTGCTAGCAGTCTTGCACTAACGATTTTTCTTAAAACAAATTCTATTTTTAAATAAAGAAATTTCCACAGGCAATTGCTAATAATTTATTCATATAACATGGTTAGGGATCAAATTTCTATGGAAATATTATGATTTTGTGTTAATTAATTAGTTATATTAACTTGGACAGACTCGGGATATAAATAACTATGGTTTTTCCAGGATAGTTCTGTTTATTCCACCAAACACATGGCCCATGCCATTCTATTACTTCAATTTTGGCATTTTGGTCATATTTATGTGTCACGTGCATATATCATTTTGAATTCATACGTTATAGTTTCATTTGCATACAATATAATACAAATCATGTTATTTGTATGCCCTCTTATTTTACATGTAATCTATATCTATAAGTATGAAAATCAAATTTCAAAAGAAGATAAAATTTAAATATCCTATGAATGTCCACGATGACTGAATGAACTCGTTCTATTTCTTTTTAAAGTTTCTTTGTCGATGAATTAGTGGTTGTCGGTCTAACACGTATTAGGGGTGGACAAAAATACCCGGATTTCGAGTACCCGACCTGACCCGAAGATCGGGTACCCGAAAATTCGGGTATCCAAACAAACGAGACATGAGATCGAGTATTGATATTAGAATACCCGAATTTTCGGATTCGGATTCGGGTAATGATTATTATCTCACGACCCTCGGGTACCCGGATAATAAAAAAATATATTTTAAAATTTAGAGTTTTTATTAGATTTTGTGTTATTTTATTTAATATTAATGATTATATAGATATTATTGGGATATATTTATGATTTATTTTTTTAAAATAAATTTATTTTAGATATAAATACAATTTAAATTTATTTTGAATGGTTTTGAGTGTGTATATATAAATATATTTAAAAATAATAATTAAAAAAATTATAAATATTCGGGTTCGGGTATCCTCGGGTACCCAAAAATTATATCACGGATTTTCGAGTTCGGATACCTGATTTTACGGATACGAGATCGGGTAATAAAGCATGTAATCCAAGACGTTCGGGTTCAAGTTCGGATATCCTCAAATTTCCGGGTACCCGACCCGTGTCCACCCCTAATATGTATCATCATGATGGTCAACTGTAAAAATTGGGGGGATATAGCACCTCCTAAAAGAATAGGGTGAAACTTTAAAATTGTCAAAAGTTTGGTGCCTTTAATTGTTAGAAACAAAAGACAAACAACATGGGCTTTGCCGTGTTTGCTTTTCTTTGCTGTTTGCTCCCGCAAGTGATTATTATTTGCAAAAGTGACTTTTCAGCCCCACCATTAATTGTTTCCTAACTATTTGGCACTTATCAATATGATCTGATTTGTATTAATCCAACAATTATTTTACAAACAATCTTTTTAATATTTAAGAGAATTACGAAATCACTATCTTTCATTCAAATACAACGAATAATGTTTCGATTGACTTATTTTCTTATTCTTATTCGTGTAAAGTATTTAATATTTTTTAAAATTAATTTCGATACAATAAAGTACTACATCCCGAACCCGAATATGTGATTATTTTTTTAGAAAAAAATATCTAAAAATTTCTAAATTTGTAATTTGATGTAATATTAATTCATGAATTTGTTGGTGCACTTATTTATTCCTAAATTTGTATTTTTGAACATAGTAATTCATAAACTTGCTTAACAGTTTCATAATCGTCCATAACACTAATTGACCAAAGCAAAATTTAAGAATTACTGTGTTCACAAATACAAGTATAGAAATTACGGTATTAAAAAATATAAGTTCAGAAATTACTTTATTAAAAAATGCAAGTTCGGGAATAAATAGGCACACCTACAAGTTCAGAAATTAATATTATACCAAATTACAAGTTCAGAAATTTTCAGTTATTTTCTCTGTTTTTTTATCCCGCTCTGTTAATATTGCTTAAAAATAATTAATTATTTTATCATTTTTGAAGAGCCAATTAAAACAGAAGAAAGGTAAATAATAATTAAAGGTGCAATTTCGTTTTTATCGATGCTTTAAGCCTTTCTGTTCTGGCAATGGCACCCACGTGATTTCCGCTAACTCCATTAGAGACATGAGATCACATGAAAATCCATTATGTCAGTTTAATAATGTTTTTATTCTATTAACTAATTAAATATGCAATTAACTCAATTAAACTGTAATTAGTGGAGTTATTGTTTCAATTTTATCATGGTGTTCCCTAAAATATATTCATTTTTATTTTTCCGTAAATTAAGTGACCCGGTCATATTATATTTATAATTTCTTTCTGTAAACAAATATATCAAAATCTACCAAAATTTCAACAATGAAAATGAAAAAGTCAGTATTTCAAGTTATTTTCTGCGAAGGGTATATCAGAACATTTCAGATTCTAATTATATTTTGATGTAATTAAAATTTTATTTTACAAAGATTATATCCATTCAAATTTTCAATTTATTTTTAGTTTCATACAAATTCAGTTTTTATTCAATTATCGTTAAGAAATATTTGTTTACTAGCATTTCAATTTTTATTATTTTTTAGAGAAAATGGTAAAAAAAAAACTCTTTACTCTTTAGATGTCGACAAAAAAATACTGTACTTTTTCTATTACCAAAAAAATCCTATACTTATATTTATTCGTCGAAATATATATGTACTCTTCAAATCTTCAAATATCAGATAAAAAAACTATGTAATTTTTTTATTATAAAAAAACCTATATTTATACTTATCCACCGAAATATACATGTATTTTATAAATTCTATCAAATAAGCCCCTAAACGCAAACGTAAAAAAAAAGGTCAAAAATCTGTCCGAACCTAACAACCTATATATATCCGAATCAAACCGATTAAAATAATATACCATATTAGATATGAATATTTCAAATCCAGAATAATGAACCAAAAATAATCGAACTGAATCCTACCGATATATACTCGAACCGAATCAAACCGGTCCCATACGTGTATATTAATTCGGCGAAGTATAAGTATAGAATATTTTTGTCTGACATGTGAAGAGTACGTGTATACTTTTGTTTGATAATAAAAAAAGTATAGAATATTTTTGTCTGACATGTGAAGAGTACGTGTATATTAATTCGGCGAAGTATAAGTATAAAGTTTTTTCGTAATAAAAAAGTACATGGTGTTTTTGTCGATATATGAAGAGTACATTATTTTTTTGGCAATTTTATCTTATTTTTATATGCTATAGCGATTCAATTAATTTAATTTTAGGATTTTTCTATCAAACTAATTTAAAAAATGACTATATGGTATTATATTCAAATTGGATAGATTTTATAAATGGGATATAAAATATGTGTCATGATTAACAAGATTGGCTTATAATGATATTTCGCATCTTTTACCTGAAAATTTGCAAGGGTGATTAAGAAAAATATATAATTAGGTTATCGAAATACAATTAATAATACCGACAGAATGATGGATGTCTCATGTTCCCATTGCGGAGAGGAAATAAATCGTTATTATTTAGAAAAAAAAACATGTTAATCCGCACGAATAAAATTATTAAATAATCAATGTCGGTCTTGTCTTCTAATCAGGGATATAATCCATGATTAATGTCTACTTGTCCCACAATTAGGCCATTTAATTTGATTAATATTTTGTTAAACTGAGTACATTATCCTCTACGTTTTCGTGAATATATACCATGTATATATACACACACACAATCTCGAAATGCCACAGTAATGATAATTATGAAAATCTAAGTCTGTAATTTAATTAAGGATAAATCTAGAAATTATTTTAAAAAATTATCTAAAAAATCTAAAATAGCATCAATCAATTAAGTAACAAAATATATTATCTATTTAACATTAATTGGGACATTATTAAAAATATTATTATTTTGTTATTTTGATTTCAACACATACCATTTTTATTATGTGAAATATATCAGTCTGGTCATATATTGATTCCATTGGTCTATTGGTCAAAACATGGGTTTGTTCTTTCTTCTCGATGATTTGCGTTTCTTCTTTTTATTTTATTGCATTCGCAAATGTAATCACGACAACTTTCGGCTTCATGGGCTCTGATTCATCAAATTCACTCAAATATATCACTTCTGTCGCATCAATTTCACCGGTACACCAACCAAAATGCCTATAAAATTTTTAACAGAATGTACACCACTTTTTATGTAAAAAGACTTAAATAT